GGTTTCGGGTTCAGGGTTCAGGGTCTAGGATTTAGGCTTATTATTAGTGTCATGGAACCCTAGAGAATGTCTTAGAAACACTGATGCCTTTCGAGGAATCACTTTATGCGAGGCTATGCTTTCGTTGGTTTTGAGGGAGGGTAAGGTTTGTGGTGCGAGCAGATAGCTTTTGAATGGTCCAGGGAAGGCAGGATGAGCAAATGTTGAGCTTCATCTACCCTACTTGGCATTCACGCACGATCGCGTTGACATTTTTTCATGTCTCCATGACCCACCAGTGAAGCAACTTAAGCAAGCGATCTATTACATTTTTTAATGGATCAGAGTTGTGTACACAGTGTAGGTCAAATATGGTAGTTTCTCAAAATAGGGGGGCCCGAAACTGGATTCCCAAATACTACAATTCCTATTATAGGGACGCTAAAAAAGGTACCCTAATTTTTGGGAAACCACCATATTTATGTTCAACTTATGCTCGGGTTCTTTTATTTGCTAAGGAGGTTCTTTATTCGATGATCCTACGCAGCGTGAAAATTCCGGAAGCAACGAAGTAAGTTGCAAAAGCAAGAGGTAGCGTTGCGAAGGCATCTAGATGATGACTCCGGAGGACATCTATCCTCCATGTTAGTTTAGCCGTATAGTTTGTATGGCTTCACGAAGTAAGATATGCACAAGGACCTACGGAATCTGGGGGCAAGCAGGGGTTTCCCTGCTTTCTAGTTATCGACTGTCTTTACAATGTTGTAAGAGGATCTTATGTAAAGCGAATGTCATTTCATTTCGCAGGTTTCTTGATTTCCTTGGGAAGTACTGTTATTCTAATAACAAGCCATAACTCTCACAAGAAAAGTTTCCCTGGACAACTTTTTAGGCGTGCGACTCTTTAATCCTTAGGTGGGCATCGCTTGCAAGAATAGAAAGCAGCTATCCGAGCTTATACAGCTAAATGAAAAGTTTGGACATCAAGAACATCTTTATTTCCTAGTTTCATATTTTCATTCGTACAACCGTATAAAAGCGATACAAACCGAGAAAATCAAGGAAAGCTATAACTCCAAAGAGATTTTTCTTACACTCTTTCTACGCTCCTACATGATTCCGTATATGAGCCGCAAAAGCCCAAGACATGAAGCGCATCGAAATTCTGATTAAATTTCAAAACAAGATACTAGGAACCCACTAAGGCTAAAAGCTAGGAATTCATTGACATGCCAAATTCCAAAGCGACTCTAGGGATGTCCTACTGGACTTCCCAGAGGTCGTGGGGCCGCAAAGGCGGTAGGAGGAAAGAAGAATTCAGGATAGGAAGGGGCCCAGTCCAAATTGGACCGAAACAAACAAGCAACAAACGAAATTTGTCAGACAAAAAATGTTGTTGTTTGCCTCAGAAAGTCTGGTGTTCCGTCCAAAAGCCATCTTTCTCCTAGGAAAGTGATGGTTTGTGGAGCTTTGTCAGAAACTATGGTGGTTGCCTGAAGAACTGGATTTTTGGTTTTCAATAGGAAAACAAGGTTCTTCTGTGAAGACACCAGCTTTTTCCTCCAATAACATTCCTTGAAACAAGGGTTTAGGGTTTAGGGTTCCTTACAAAGGATTGTTTTCCCCAGAAGGAAGGGATGGTTTGCCCTTCCAACAACCACCTTCCCCAGGAAGAAGATGTGTTTGTGAAGAAAGTGCCTTCAGCCCAAAAACCCGATAAGCAACCTCCAGACTTCTTTTTTGGTCGTTTTTTGGGTGCCCTTCAGAAAAGATATGGTTCTCAGAAAACCAACTTTACACTGGGAAAAGTCATCTCGTATAAAAAGATTACATGTTTTTTTCATGTGATGCTATTGGACAACCATATACTTGCCTCGGACAAAACCTCAATGAAGAAAAACCTTGTTTCTTTAGGAAATAGGAAACTTCTTCTAAGGCAGCTACCATAGTTTTTGAAAAGGATGCTTTGAGTTTTGGGTTTAAATCCTGAACCCTAAACCACATATTGGAGTCTGCAACCCACTCGCTGAAGCTACGCATGTGTGGAAGGAAGACGGTAATCCGCATAGATTGGGTACTGCCTCCACTCTCTAACACTTGGTTTAGGGTTTAAGGGAGATACTTTCGTTTTATATAGCCCTCAATAGGACCCAAGAGTATGGACGGTTAAAGCACGTGGGCAACACCCAAAGTATCGGCCCTAACAGGACCTGAGCTATAGTCTAAACTCCCTAAAGGGGGTTATATAGGGGATTATATAGGGGCCTAGGGGATATTAAGGGCGAAACTAGGAGTTTGTTTAGACTATAGCTCATCTAGTGTTTATGGTTCAGGTACCAAGCTGCAGGAGCACACTTGCAATCAGGCATCAGGAAAAGTTATACTGGGCAATTTAAGGCGACCTCACGCGACCTCACCCTAAATGGTGGTTTACATAGGGAGTAGTACCAAACTGGCTCTAAATTGGGAATTGAAATTGTTCTAAACTACACTGTTCATTATAGCTTGGTAGTTAGCAGGTGGGTACCCCCCATGTAAATCTCGTTGGATGCGGTATGAGGGCCATAGGGGTATATGAAGGCTGCATGGGCCGCTGTTAATCGAATGGTTTTCATTCGATTTGCCATTCCTTCAGTCCCACACAGTTATTAACCTATATGACACCAGTTTGCATTTCATGTTCCTGCTTTTTTCCACTTGATTGTCCATTGTTGGGGTAATGTCCCTACACCCTCAACCTTAAACCCTAAATACTAGATTCCATTTTCTTTTCCCTCTCCCAGAATACATCCGTCTATAACCCCTGTATGGGTGGTTGCCAAAATTATGTTCCCTTCTGAATCCCTATTATAATACGGCACCTAATATGTAGAGTACCCAAAAAGGGACCATGATTTTGACAACCGCCCTAAACCCCAAACCGCTAAACCCCCTAAACCCTAAACCTGGAAGCCTGAGCCCAAATAATGTAGACGTCAACCTGCAGTCTCCGGCAGGTATCTAGGTGGGACGCAACTACGTTACTACAACTCTTTACTTTATGTACTTTTGGGGGTCATCTATTTCGTGCAAAATTAGAGTTGAGTAGTATTTTATTTGGGGATATTATGGTACCCAATATAGAGTAAGGTTATCTTCTCCTTTTGCGGTATAGTATTTTATATAAGGAACATAATCTTACTGGGTTCAACCACCAAAAAAACGTTACTCACCTGTAGTACTTTATATAACCTTGGGGTCCTCTATCTTGTGCAAAATTAGACTTTTAGTGGGGAAGTGAAGAGCAAAGTAAGTAATCCCCAAACCTTGATCCCTAAGCGGCAAACCGTAACCCCTAAGCGGGTTTAGGGTTTAGGGTTTAGAGTTTAGGGTTTAGGGTTTAGGGTTAAAGGGCTCCCTACTGACCTGTTGGATAGTGGAGAAAGGTCCGATAAAACTGTCGTGTGTTCCAAGCCATGAGCCCTGCACCTTCATGTCTTGGGGTATATGGTTTAGGGTTTAGGGAATGGAGAACCTATAGAAACCTAATATATCTACATACCTACCTGAAGCTCTGCTTTACAGGTCTGGTTTCGGTACTGCCCTCACTCTGTAACAGTTGGATAATATTGCTAATGTAATTACATGGATAGCCCTAAATCCCAAACCCCCAACCCCCTAAAATATGCAAGGTATGGGTATTCCACGCAGATGGATGGATTTGACAGGTTCATTTCACATGATTGGCAGACACCAGGACTTAAGGGTTTAGGGTTTTGGGGTTCAGGTTACAGGGTTTAGAGCGTTTATGGTTTAGAGAGTTTAGGGTCCACAGATCTTAGGGTTAAGATGTAGAGTTTAGGGTTTAGGATTTAGGGCTTCGGATTTAAGACTTAGAGTTTAGGGTTCAGGATTCAGGGTTTAGGGCTTAGGGTTTAGAGTTTAGGATTTAGGTTACGGCTTTGCATGGCTCAAAATGCCTTGTACTCAGGGAATTGTGGTATTCTAAAAGACGAAGGTCATGGGGGATTTGCAGGTTTCCTTTAATTAGGGGTACCTTCTTGCGGGGCCCAATCATAAGGACTATAGTATTTTGGGGTTTGTATTGCATTCCCCTATTTAGGGAAACTACCATCTGTAGTTAGTGTCAACACTGTAAAGCCTATTTGACGCTTTAGCCAGGTAATTGATAGAAACATTTTACGGATACTGTTGCATCCACCTTTGCTGTTCCCTCATGCTGCTTGCAGAAGCCTACTATACTGGGCCAAATATTGCCCCAAAATGGTGGCTTACCTTAAAAAACATTAAACCCCAAAACCTCAAGCTTAAACTTTAGCTCTAAACTCTGAAGCCTAAAGACAACACCGCTTCGAAACCGCCTTTTTGCAGACTTGAAGTTGGTCTTTCTTTGCCGTAGTCCCCTAGGATACTGTAGAAGGATCCCAAAACCCAGACCCTAAGATCTAAACACTTAAAACCCCAAACCTAAACCGGAAACCCTAAACCCTAAACCCCAAACCCTGAACCCTAAAGCCTATAGTCTCCCTTAAGTAGATAGAATATGGGGTATATGGGGATCTTATTATAATATGTCCAAAGCCGTATTCTATCTACTTA